AAATAAATAAAATCTTTAAAAAAAAAAAAAAAAAAGAACCAACTGAAGTACTCCTGAGTTCCAAATCATGCAGTTTACATTTAAAAACTGGTTCAGTTTGTTACAAGGGCAGCAGGTGAGGAAGGTGTATGCTTGTGTCTGCCACCAGCAAGCTGCAGTTGCGGGTTCGTGTGCTTCATGGCCTGTTACACGGAGAGCAGCAGACAAGGGAAGTCAGAAGCAGAGCCAGCAGCCATCAGTTCATGGAGCAGGATATAGTACGGAAGCTTTCCTGAGGGCTTTTGGTTTTTATTCTACTTCTTTTCGTTAAGACTGGAATCAAGCTTACATGTAAACTGTTGGTAATTTAAGTTTACTTTTGTGCTATTCAGTGTAAAACTGTCTATTTTGAAAAAAATGTTGGTTATGAAAAATAAAGATTGAGGCACTGCTTCAAAAAGACACAAATTTGATATCATTTGAGCATGAAAAGGAATAATGGCCTTGATTGGTTATAACAATATGAAAAAAATGAAAATCTATGAGCATAACAATACTGAATAAAAATGAGAATGAGTGAGATAGAAAAAGAAGGGGAAAAAACTAATTAGTCACTTTTGGAAGTACCTATTATATCAGATTTTTAAAAATTACTAGTAAAGAATTAAGCCATCTTTTAAAAAAATTTGCATCTATCAATAAATATAGAGTTCTTTTGTACCGGGTAAAACTGAATATTGTATTTGAAACAGCATTATATAGTAAATAAACTGTCATCTGGTTTTCTTGGGAAATGTGGTTTTCATATTGTAGAAACAGACCTACTGAATCAGAGTCATTAGTAAGCTGGTACAGCCACTTGGGAAGACATGTATGGAGGTTCCTCAAAAGGTTGAAAATAGAGCTACCCTATGTCCCAGCAATTGCACTACTGTGTATTTACCCCAAAGATACAAATGTAGTGATCCGAAGGGGCACCTGCACTTAATATAAATCCTTGGTACTCTGTATGATTAGTGTATTTTCAAGATTATATAATTGTTTTTTTTCATTTTGGTATTTTTTCAGTATAGAAGTTGGAATTTAAAAATAACCAATTTTGGGGGGCACCTAGGTTGTGTAGTCGGTTAAGCATCCAACTCTTGGTTTTGGTTCAGGTGGTGATCTCAGGGTCCTGGAATCAAGCCCCATGTTGGGTTCCGGACTCAGCATGGAGTCTGCTTGGGATTCTTTCTTCCCTCTTCTTCTGCCCCTCTCCCTGCCCCTGCTCTCTCTCAAATAAATAAATCTTTAAAAAAAAAATTTTTTTTTTTGTAAAAAGATAACTGCTACCAGAAGTAAACACACAAGTAAAATTTAAATTACCCATATTTTCAATCAGATGTAATCACTATTAATGGTTGTGGGTTTAAAAATGGAATAGAAACAATGTCTCCTGAAGGCTTTGTTTTCTTATGATCTTAACTATCTTTTTACCTCTTCTGTTATTTTTCTATAGTGCTTTCCTTCTTATTCTCTTATTTCCTATTTTTCCATTATCTAGCTTCTAATTCACCCTAGCTATTAGTTTATATTTTCTCTTTCTTTATATCTTATGCTCATTTTTTTGTTCTACATAGAATCTAGTATCCCCTTCTACTTTTGGTGTGTTCATTTCAGGACCTGTTTGGGAACCTTCCTGATCTTCTTGCTTAGAAAGTGAGGAATATAAACTCTTCTTTTACATCAGTTATTTGTATTTATTATTTTAAAGGAATATTACATTTGTATGAAGATGGAAAGGGAATTGTCTGTTATATATAAAAGCTTATAGTGTGTGACTTATTTACTTGTTTTGTTTTGCTTTTTGTTTTGTTTTTATTTACTTTTTAAATCAAGTGTCAGAAAAAATTATCACTTGTTGGAACTGAGACACTCACTGATTCAAATGCTCAGGTATGAATCCTTTTTTTTTCTTCCTAAAAATAGATAAATTTAATTCATTTTGTTTTGGATAAGAATATTATTCATCTGTATTAAACCCACATAATAGTTTTGTTGACACCTGTATGCTTAATCACTTGGAAAATTCTCTACTCTTCCTGATTTAAGAGAAGTATTCTAAATACTTTTTGAATAAACTATTATAAATATTTTCTCTATCTTTTAACAGTTACACATATGTTTAACTGTTGAGTGAAAAACTGCAACTGAGATACCTTGTTAAAAATTTGAACACATACTGTCCTACTTTGTCTTAGGTATAGTAGCCAGTTTTTTTTTTTTTTACTATATGTGTGGAACCTTAACTTATTTTACTGTATGTTTAAATAAAGGATTAAGATATCCATTTTAATAATCAAGGACCTATGGAATTGGTTTAGGAATATACCAGTCGATCAGTGCAACAGATTAAAAATTTAAATATGACAAAGATGGTAGTTCCAGTTTGTGGGAGAAGGATGAATTAGTTAATAAATGATAGTGGTACAACTAGTTATCCATGTGGGAGAAAATAAAATTGGACCTCTGTCTTTCATTATATAAACATATATTCTGGATGGATTGCCATAAAAATCTTACAAGAAAAGTTAGGAGACTATTTGTGCAGTTTAGGGATAGGACAAACTTCTTGGCTAATAGTAGAAACCTAGATATTATAAAAGAAAACTAGATATATTTGACCATATGAAAAGTTAAAAATGTTTTAGTATTAATTTTAAGAACAAAGTCAAATATATGAATGATTCTAAAGAAAGTTCTCTAAAACTGGTATTAGCATGTCAGAAGATATAAGAACCAATTGAAGGGGCGCCTGGGTGGCTCAGATGGTTAAGCGTCTGCCTTCAGCTCAGGTCATGATCCCAGGGTCCTGGGATCGAGTTCCGCATCGGGCTCTCTGCTCCTTGGGAGCCTGCTTCTCCCTCT